ATCCAGAAGTTAGAACGTTTAATTATAAAAATAATTAATAAAAGATGATCGATTTTGAAAGAGGCAATTATATAGATCGGAACGAAATATATTGATATTTAATTAAGACAATAGAACCTATAATGCAAAAATTACCTAATTATATCGGAGATTATTTCGAAAAATAAAAATAAAGACTACTGTAAAAGACTACTATCGTTCGAAATTGATTTCTTGTAGGTTAAGGCCTTTGTATCAAGAATTCAATCTGACAGACTGAATGAGTCACACGTCTAACAAAATGATTACAAACACTACTGCAAGTGTAACTGTATATCGTAGATGATTTTGACATCTCAGGTTTCCTTAAAATAAAAAAGATAACATAACGTTATCATAATACATTGTGTGATTTCACAAAATTTACAATTTCTTTTCGTAATGACGAATATGAACAACCTGTGTATGTACATTAAAATGCAACCTATGAGACCGATCTTAAAATGTCTGTCTGACAGTTATTATAAAAAAATTCTTAATTCTTGTCCCTGCATTTTAATAATAACAATTTTAAATGTCATTGACTAAACTTTTTGCAAATTAAAATACATCGTTTTTAGTCAAAAAGTTCAGAATTGAAGATTTATGAAAAGCTAATAAATATTTCTCAGAAATTTTAGAAAGTAATTTATAAAACATAATATAAATTAAAGTAATTATTTTTCAATAAAACCAGGATCCTAAGTTGAATTGAATTAGTTGAACTGAATTCTTTCGTCAATTAATGACAAAAATTTAAACTTATTACGTCCATAACTTCACTTTACATCATATAGAAAAAGAGTACTATCATTGACTAAAGATAGAGTAGACCGGACATGAAATAGGATTTTCTATCTCGGAGTCTGAAATACAGACCAGGAAAAAAAAATCAATGGTTTTTTAGCGCATTCTAAGCATAAGATAAGATATATGAACATTGATATGAATATATCTCATATACCTCGTCTGTCATACGATCAGGTAGTCCCTAAACAAGGGACACAAAAAAGCATTGGATGTTCGGTCTATTCTAGTTAGTCAATGATACATACTATTACATATTACATCTGCTTAGCTTGTCATCTTAATTGTTGTATAAAAACCGGAATCTTTATTTTACTTAAAAAAAAGGAAAAAAAGACACAGGAAGATATTCGTAAAGAAATAATATAAAAAGTAATTTAATAAATTTGTTAATATTTCGAAATGAGTGACATGTCATGCGTACAGTATCGTATAGTAAGCATCTTCGAATGTATGATGTCGGAATCTCTTAGTCGAAGTTAACGATACTTGCTTGTAAAACTAAGTATAAAAGATAAAATATCGTGTAAAAATGAAGACGGCTTTAATGGTGGCTGAAAAACCATCGTTGGCTGCTTCGTTAGCCAATATTTTAAGTAATGGTCGGTGTACATCGCGAAAAGGTAGGTTATGTTTTTGTAAAATTTAATGCATGTACACAATTTGATAATATTTTAAATTAAAAAGATCAAATTTATGATGTAATGATTTATAGATACTTATATCTCATACATTTCTAATAAAAAAATTATAGGTTTAAATGGATCTTGTTCAGTGCATGAATGGATAGGTCAGTTTAGATATGAAACTGTAAATTTTAAAATGACTTCTGTCTTTGGTCATGTCATGACTTTAGATTTCATTGGAAAGTATAACAACTGGGACAAAGTTGATCCTGTAAGTTAAAAGCTAAGAATTCCATGAAGTTTTTATCATTTTGTCTTATCATATTGTTTTGTTATATTAATAACATTATTTTTATTATGTTCAAGGCAGAGTTATTTTCATGCCCAACTGAGAAAAAGGAAGCAGTTCCTAGATTGAAAATCCCTTATTTTTTGGCCAAAGAAGGCGCTCATTGTGATTATTTAGTATTGTGGCTGGACTGTGATAAAGAGGGTGAAAACATCTGTTTTGAAGTTATATATGCTGTTCAACAAGGAATGAATAGGAGATTGAATCCAAATGTAGATTTTCTATTTCTAATTTAATTGTTTGTATCGTTTTAATGAAGTTTGATGAATTTTATATTTATTACATTTTATATTTATACATAGGATATTTGGAGGGCAAGATTTTCTGCTATTACAGAAAAAGACATAAAATCAGCATTATTAAATCTAGTAAAGCCAAATGAAAATGAAGCAAAGAGTGTTGATGCTAGACAAGAGTTAGATTTACGAATTGGTTGTGCTTTCACAAGATTTCAGACAAAATTTTTTCAGGTAGGATCATTATAAAAGATGGTCTTTATATCATATTCAATTCTTTTTTTTTTTTTTTGCTTTTTCTAGGGTAAATACGGAGATTTAGATGTGTCTCTTATTTCCTATGGTCCTTGTCAAACACCAACATTAGGATTTTGTGTGCAAAGGCACGATGAAATTCAAACGTTTAAGCCAGATCCTTATTGGGTTCTACAGGTATAATTTATTCAAAGAATTATGTCTCATCTTGGCATATAAATACTTCTTATATGTCAGAATATAATCCCTCTATGATTTAGTAAGAGGAAGAAGATAAACTCGAATGCATTGAAGGTTACAGTTAAATCTTCCGATGGGCAAGACATTATTTTGAGTTGGAGCCGCGTCCGATGTTTTGACAAGGAAATAGCGAATATGTTTCTGAGTCACGTAAAAGAGTATGATCAAGCAACGTAAGTTTTTAGCATTTCGATATTTATTTATTTATGATGAATATTTTAGATTAATATTGAAATAATATAATATTTATCCTATTAAATGTTATAGGATTATAGGCGTAGAAACAACGGAAAAAACAAAATCGCGACCTATAGCCTTAAATACGGTAGAATTGATGAGAGTAGCAAGTTCAGGTTTAGGAATGGGTCCCCATCATGCTATGCAGATTGCAGAACGTCTCTACACTCAAGGATACATAAGTTATCCTCGAACTGAAACAACATTATATCCAGAAAATTTCGATTTACTGTAAGCTAAAAGTAACTTCAAAATCTTTTTATATTTTTCTTGTGTATATATCAAAGAATTCATGTTTAGTGCAGCGTTGAAACAACAGCAAAATAATCCGGATTGGGGTGATCAAGTTCGTAAGATATTGGCGACTGGAATTAATAGACCAAAAAAAGGATTGAATGTTGGAGACCATCCTCCTATTACTCCAATGAAACATGCTACTCGAAACGAACTCGATGGGGATACATGGAGATTGTATGACTATATAACTCGACATTTTATTGCGACTGTAAATATATGTTACTAATTCTACATTTTAAACCAATTCTTATTGCTTTCAAGCAGTTTAGATATTTTTATATTTTATAGCTGGCTCACGATTGTAAATATTTGAGCACCACGGTTAGATTTGAAATAGGAATGGAAGTATTCACGGCGAATGGTCACAGTTTATTAGATCCTGGATATACCAGTATACTTACATGGCAGGCACTTGGGAGTAACGATACGTTACCCAGATTTGTACCGGGTGAAAAATACAATATACAAGAGGTAATGCATGTATAAAATAAAGAGTGGAAGTATTTTAGTCGATTAATTTAAATTTTTTGTGTAGATAAAGTTAGTCGAATGTTACACACAACCTCCAGATTATTTGACAGAATCTGAATTAATATCTCTTATGGAAAAACATGGTATCGGGACTGATGCTTCTATTCCAGTTCATATAAACAACATATGTATGCGAAACTATGTTAATGTAGCAACTGGGAGGAAATTAGTTCCTACTTCTCTAGGAATTGTATTAGTTCATGGGTATCAAAAGGTATATAGTTTTTAACATGTATAACAATTAATGAATTACTCGCAGTAAAATATTTGTATTTATATCAGATAGATCCTGAGCTAGTTTTACCTACAATGAGGTCTGCAGTAGAGGAACAATTAAATTTAATAGCTTTAGGTCGAGCAGACTTCCATGCTGTGTTACAGCATACAGTAGAAATTTTCAAACAAAAGTTCCATTATTTTGTAAAAAGTATAGAAGCTATGGATCAGTTGTTTGAAGTTTCTTTCTCTCCCCTTTCTGCATCTGGAAAAGCACATTCCAGGTAAATAAATATACGTGATTACTTAATATTTATTTTTTTCTTTTACTAAACAATATTTTTTTATATTTAGATGTGGAAAATGTCGACGTTACATGAAATATATACAAACAAAACCATCGAGGATGCACTGCGCACATTGCAACGAAACGTACAATCTTCCACAAAACGGGAACATTCGTATCTATAAAGAATTAAAGTGTCCATTGGACGACTTTGAATTACTCTCGTGGTCTACCGGAGCACGGGGAAAAAGTTATACATTTTGTCCATATTGTTACAATAATCCTCCGTTTAGGTAATTAATATATATTGAAATATTCAGCTTTATATTAGTTGAATATTTACTGTTGTGTAAATTATGAATTTCAGAGATATGAAAAAGGGAATGAGCGGTTGTAATTCCTGCACACACCCGACTTGTCCACATGGCATGAACTCTAATGGTTTATCGAGCTGTTTAGAGTGCAATGCTGGTATACTCGTTCTCGATCCTTCGTCTGCACCAAAATGGAAACTTGGATGTAATCGTTGCGACGTCATTATTCATTTATTCGAAAATGCCCACAAAGTGATAGTCGACACGGAGGTGTGCGAGTGTGGAGCTCAATTAGTTACCGTAGAGTATAAACAGGTAAAGTGATCAATCTTAAACGTCGTGTTATAATTGGGAAAACCATTTATATTCAAGACATATTAAGGTCAGTTTTTTAATCGTAGGAAAAAAGCAAGCTTCCCAATGAAGCTACAGAGATGGCTGGTTGTGTTTTTTGCACACCAGCTTTCATGGCCCTTGTAGAAAAGCATCGTGCAGTTGCCTCGAAACCGGTTACAACTCGTGGCCGTGGCCACGCTAAAGGTCGTAGTCGGGGTAAACCACGTCCACCAAAAGATAAGATGGCACAATTGGCTGCATATTTTGTATAACTGATTCCGTTTGTAAATGAAGTACATAGATATTACTATTCCCATCCTATTCACACTTTGACACTTTCACTATTACGTAATCTCGAAAATAAATCGAAATGTACTCACTACCTCAACGACTCATACGTACATCAATTTATTTTTTTTATAACTGTTTTTAGATGCGATATGATTTCCATTATCACTCAACAGTATTATGTTTTGGATAACAGAGAAACTTTAAAAGTTAAAGTCTTTGTTTTTGTGAAAAAATATATATACATATGTAATGTGTATTATTATTGGAAAGTTATTTAGAGATTTCAATTATACATGAAAAGAAACTAACCAAATTATCGATCGCTATTGGCGCATATGTCTTGATATGTAGCACAGACAGGGCATGTCAAGCATTTTTTATGAACTTTTGATAAACAATCAAGGAAGAAAATAAGTCGTTATACAGAAAGTAAAAAAGTAATGTATAAAAAGTGAGATAAAGATTATTAAAAAAATATTCTAAAAATGATCTTGTTTATAATCAAACTTACGACACTTTCATTTGTTCGTATTCGTATATTACAATATTTCATCTTTCGATAACAGCTAGACTATTTGTACTTGATTTTACTTAAATGTACAACTTAAATTTCACTCATTGAACATTTTTATCACAAAGACAAAAAATACGTGCAACGTATACCACTGATTATACATACTCTGAAAACGTTAATGATTCAAATAGAAAGTTATCGCATGGATCACCGGAGACTACATTAATCCGAACTTAATTATTTTCGTAAAAGATATCGCGCAACGTAGAATCTTTCAGTCATCGCGACATTAACATTCGATCGCGGGGACATTCCCAATTAGCTTGCTACTCAATTACCCTAAAACTAAGAGAGGCGAGATAAAAATCGATCGAATCTCTATATACGGTGGATCGTAATATCCCGATTGTCGCGAGTCTATTACAAAAAGAAGTACATATATTGGCAGTGGCGTGTTACGGAGAAAGTTGATTGGCTCGAGGCGGCGAACTGCTACGATGGCGGGAGGGATCTGTTGCAAACAGGAGAGTGCACGTACTGTAGTGAGTCGCGCTGTCAGTCGGTAAACGTACGCCGTGTCGGATGGTCTGATCGTTTGTGTTTCAGTTAGGGGGCGAGTGTACGCGCGTGTTGCTCATTTACCGACTTAGCACAAACTCCTTGACGCGTCGCGCGTATCCGTTTCTCTGTATGCCGTGTTGTTGTGCTCGTCCTTCGTGCGCCAACGGGATCCTGGCCCCGATATGATGAATATAATAATGCAGTGAATGAAGTGAAACGTGTCCTGGGCGCGGCGATTCCGGCAGAAGGAAAGAAGAGAAGCCTGGTAGAAGCTGGCCGGCATGTGCACTCAGTTCTGCCGCGGCATCACCACTGCTGCTGTCATACTGGCGATGTTCCTCTGCCGGATTTGCTCCGCCGAGGAGCAGCCAGGTTCCTCCGGTGGACCCGGTCTCCTAGAATCTTGCAATGTCACCGCCGACGGACGGGAGTTCTCCTGCCGCGGGGCTGGTTTCTTGTCCATCCTGGAGCCTCTCGATGTCACTGTGCTTCCATCCACAGTCAATCTTACTAAACTGTAAGTACACATAATGTACGAATTTAAAAAAAAAAAAAAAACGTGTCACGTTTCACTGTTTTTGTTAGAAGGCAATTTTAAAATTCAATATCTTGTCAGTGTACTCTTGCATCGACGAATATCTCACAATTTTTTTTTTACCGTGAAATAAAATAAATTTGGTTATAAAAAAAATATATGTATATCTTACATATCTGTTTTTAAATGTAGCTTTTTCATGCAGATACATTGTTGCGGAATGATTTATTTTGCAGCGCATCGAACATTAATGATACGTCCAAGATCATGTTTCTTTCGCTTGGTTATTTCCTTTCTCATCGCGGCTTTTCGAACACTACGGTCGCACGGAGGTCCTTCGAATTCTTGCCTTGAGAGTTTGAAAGGTTTGACACCGGCTGAGGCGCCGGAACCTTGACGCGTTAACGTTCCGAATAATCCCCGGTGGTGAATTTAAAGCCTTTAATTGAAAATTCATATTCAGAGTACTCCGGCGTTAAAATATCTTCCGTGGAATATTCGTTTGAAGTGGAATGATAGAACGTTATATGTGATGTAGTTTAAAACAATTGTCACGTGACTTGGTCGCGAAGCGCGCAATTATTCAAACCTTCCAAACTGTCTGTCAAAACTGAAACGTAGCATGTCGTTCCAATTCCACTTTCTTCTTGGAACTTTTCTCTTTACTCACGTGTTTCAAAACAACAATTTACCAACCGTCACGTGTAATTATTAACTTTTCTGTTTCTTTTTTATATTTGGTGCTTGAAATATAGATGTCGCCATTATTGTCACGATTAGTATTTACGTATACATTACTTACACACACACAAATACATTATATATACAATTATATATACAAATATATAATATATATATAATATATAATATATACAATATATATATATATATATATACAATTATATATTTGTTGACAAGTTGATATAAAAATATATACGTACTGAAATATAAACATAATGAATATAATGAAATATGAACATATAATGAAATGATGCATGAGTATTATGCGCAGTATTATGTAATAGAAAAGGAGAATTATTTTAACGTTTCTGTTATTGTATGTATTATGTTACGGAGTTTGTTGCAAGGGAATCAGAAACGAAAAATATATGGCATTCGCAGTTCAGTCGCGTGCAAAAAACGAACAACGAGTAATTGGAACTTTTTTTCTGGCCTGGATTCCGTCCGAAAGTATTCTTTCGGGACAAGTTGGCCGTAGTTTCCGTGTGTACACTGGGAAACGTCTGTTTGTCTGACTTGCTACATTGCTTACTACTACGTGAGTCTATTTTCGTTTCGTGTTTTTCGATCGTTATTGCTTCCATATTACAATTATTATTAAAACTGTTTATTTGATGTTTCTTTTTTTTTTTTTTTGGAAATGTTTGCCGAAATAATACTTTTTTTTTTTTTTTTAGAATAAATTTAATCGTAGCGATTATGAGGATTTGAAAAAGCTACGAGTTTTGGCAGAGATAAGTGAATTGAAATGCCGATAAAATATCGGTTTTGATAATAAAGAATGCCACTAAAGAATCTAACACGCTATGATCGATCTAAAAATTAATTGTTATCTCTGATTGAGACACAAATTAATAAATTTAATTTTTTCTCTTCTCCTTTATCTTTTTGCAAACTTCGTTAACGAAAGTTTTAACATTTGATATTCTTATATCTTCGATAGCGATATAATAATCTAACGTGCATAGAATGAAAAGTTCAATCTCGCTTGATGAAACTTCTGCCTCTACAATTGGATCTACAAAGTGATAAAGAATGGAATTCAGGGAGTAAGAGAGCAAGAGATTGCCCAGGAAGTAAGTTTAGTAAGAAAAATTAGAGCGAGGTAAAACGCTTTTCATTGGGAATCTAATATAAAAACTTTGCGGAATATACCACTGTCACGGTGAAAACTTGAAATAAGAATTTCCGGCGAACGAATATCGTGCAAGTTTAACCTCTGCAGCATGATCGAGGGAAATGACCTTTCGGCAAAATTTCATCCTGATCGACTGATCGAGAAAATGAGGGGAAGGAAGTTTCTTAATCGGGCAATTGGCTAGCCTAAAGCTTAAATCTCGCGTATGCTTTTCATCGGTCACGCGAGGCTAAGTTCGCGTGTCTCGCATAATCGTGAAATGACTTATATTAGATGAGTATACACAGATAGCCAAACAAGGCTGCTATAGTGTCAATCTGTTACGAAATCTGCGATAGTATGATGTGAATTATAACGTTATTACATAAGCGCGATATGTGATGCTTAGAGAAAAATTATACTAACTTTTGTACCATAGAAATTATTTCGAAGCTGTGAATGCTCCGAAAAGAACAACGACACCATATTTTATACTATAGAAGGATAATTCTTCAACAGTTTGAATAAACAAATAAATAATCAAATACTAACAATGATTAAATAAATAAATAATCTTCAAGTATTTTCTAACATTCTAACAATTTACAATATGTATTATTTACATGAGATTAATCAGTTTCATAATAGATAGAACACAAAAGAAAATGTAGAGTTAAGAGAGATTTTAACGCTTTAATTAAAAAATGAAAAACCTCGTTCGAACCTCGTACTGTGAAAAGTGAAAAAAAAAAAAACGCGACTTATTCTTTGTCTCTGTAGATTTAAGCCCTTTTAAGGAAGCGCGAACTCACCCCTCGGTGAAAGTATAAGTTCAACCAAATTATGTACCTGAGAAACATCCATGTGTCGTATACTTGTCGCCATAATGCAGCGAGGCAACGAGTGCTCTAACCGTAAAAGTCGCTCTATAAGAGGTGGCATAAAGTGGTAAAGAAAGGAAGATAAAGGAAAGGAAAGGAAAGCGAGGAAATGGAGGAAGGAACGTGGAACATTAAAAAACGTCGTCCCGGTGGAACGCCATGGAAATGAAATCGCGCGGCACAATGACGAACGTTTCCAAGAATACAGGAATACGAGGTATTAGAGGCGGGGGTTAACATCTTCCGAAGGCATGAAACGTATGAAGTATAATCCGTACAAGTACGGTTGCCGACCTACATAGCTAGACGTTGATCCTTCTCGACTCGAAGACAGCCGATATTTTATAGAGCGCGATTTAGGATCAAGGAAACAGCGAGGAATCGAGGAATTCACACGTAGGCGTTCACGCAAGTCTTGGTTCTCTTCTTTTGTTTTAGATCCGCGCGATTAGATCCTCACCATTTGTATTCTAGAGTTTATACAGTTTTTTTTTTTTTTCTTTTAGGAGATCTTGACTTTGAATTTTTCTATTAGAATTTTCCAGCCCTGAAGTATATTTCCCTGTTTCACTTTTTCTGGAAGGGTTTTCCTTATCGGAGATGCTCCTACGGAGGATTGTCCTTAATTTTCGTCCCGAATTCTTTTATTAAAATTTTCCACGTGATCTTGATCACGTTTCCACGTTTCCGCGACTCTGTCTGTTTCTATCCTTCTTTTCTCTTTTGGTTTTAAAATCTTTCTCCATCAAAGTGTCTGCTACGAAGATAAGAGAAAAGGTGGTCTGAGAGCACGAGGTTCCCAGAGAAACACGATCAGTTCATTAAGACTTTCTCCTTCCGAAGAATTTTCAACTTTTTTCTTTTCTTTCAGAATTTTTTTCTCACTTTTCTCTTTCTTCAAGGACAGAGGTGGGAATTTGTTTTCGTTTTTAAACGAAACTTTCTAAAGAACTTTCCTCCCCTAATCTTCCGGCTTCTTTTCCTTTTTTTTCTTTCCTTTTCGTTTAACTAAAAGTCTACCCTCTGCAAGAAGTTCTCGAAGATCTCTTTTCGTCGTAATCTCTTCCCATCGCAAGAACTTCTTCTCTCTCGTCGCAATTTCCTTCTTTTCTCTCTCTCTCTCTCTCTCTCTCTCTCTCGTCGTGATTTCCTCCTTTCAATTTTCGCGATGTTTCTCTCTTTTTTTTCTTTTTCCACCGCGAAGATCGACCGCAGGCAAAAGAGCAGAAAAATAGAAATAGACGCGAGAGATGGCACAGAGAAGAGGGAACTCGCACTTGAAAAGCGAAGCAATTTATCTTCCTTCGTCTGTGGGATCGGTTGATTAATCGAACGGGCATCGTTCAGATTAATTCGCGTTCCACCTAAGAGACTCCACTCGAACGAATCGCTAGAAATTATCGAGGCTTATTGATTCTCAGCAGTCGGTTGATTCGACACAGAAACGGTTTACCTGTTTATTTCCACAGCTCTAACATACCTATTACATCAATTTCTATCCTGGTGATGTCGCTGCAGGAAACAAATTTGATTGGGACTTCAGGAATAGTATCAATCGTAGGTGTGAAGTCGAGTTGATTCATCGAAGGATTCTCTAACCAAGGAGTTAGAATCAAGTCACCTTTTAAGAAAACTTCGTACGCGTAAATTTTCATCAGGCTGATTTCGAATCGTTGCAAGTGAAAAGCATAACCGATGTAGAGAGATTTTTGTCACATGACGAAGAGAAATTCATATCAGATTGATTGAACCGATCTTCGTGTCACCTGGTGTCCTAAAATATATTTTAATGTGATTCAATTGAAAAGGAAATTACATTGCTTAATTAAAAATGCAGACACATTGATGCGCATGTACGGAAGATACACTGAACTGAGTTTAATAATTCAATATTTTTTATAAAGATCACGTTCATCTGATCTTCAAACAATATCACACTACTATTTTTCTTTATCTGTTATCCGCGCGAAAATTCTTCAAAATTTGTTACGTGAGCAATAAGTAATTATGAAAGAAGAAAGAAAAAAAAAAA